TCTCTCTCTCTCTCTCTCTCTCTCTCTCTCTCTCTCTCTCTCTCTCTCTCTCTCTCTCTCTCATAAATCAGCATAACTACTTTCCTAGATCAGTTAAGATCAGTGATCAGTCAAACTAAATTTAGTCTTGTTTTTTTCATCTTCCCAACATATCATTAGAAATGCTAAGAGAAAAACAGGTGCTGGATTTATATTTTAATCCCCCTGTCAACCCCTTTCTAGAGGTGCTAATGAACAGAAACAAGACACAGTGGGTGCTTTAGCAGTTAAAATTGAATTGCCGTTCCCAAAGTAATTAGAAGACTATATTAATGAGTTCAGGGTCCACAGTATTTAACACACACACTAAATAGGGGTGATATTAATTCACGTTTCTAAAACAATTTACAAAGCACTTCGATGTGTGTTATCTAATATAGTTTGTGTGGAAGATAAGAATTTTTATTATTGTTTTATGATTTAAATTTTATGGCTTTTTATAGTGTAAATTTATAGGTTAGAAGGCCAGGTGAGAAAGCTACCTGCCTAAGATCAGTAATCTGATTCCCGTTCTTCTGGCTCTAAGTGGGGCATATTTTCCAGCACAATGTGTTTTATGATCGTACTTATAATTCCTTTATAAGCAAGTACTCTCATCCTTAATTTCAGGGATTTGCATGTGGAATGGTTTAAGAAATACTGAAATGTGTCCATTGATGGGGATACAAGTCTGGACACATGTTTTAGAGCTTCATGGAGTCCTCTTAAATTTTCTTTATTTTGTTTTGCTTTGGTGCTGGAGATTAAAACCAGGGCCCCCGGCATGTTAGAAAAATGATCTAACACTGAGCTGACTCCGCCCCCTACACACACATCCTGTAAGCCTTGCTGAACTTTTAACACTGCAGACACCAGTGTTAGAACCTGTGGCTACATTCTATGTTTGTTCATGTGCATTGAGCACACAGAGATGCAAGATCATATCATGTTATTTGTGATGATCTTGTTCATGATTCTGAAGGAAATAGGAGAGGTCTTCCAGGTAGTCATTCAGGAAAACAGTTATTTAAGGCTTTTGGCACAATGAATCTTTTATCAAGAATTTATTTCCTCAACTTTGGAATTTCAGTGGCATTTTCGAGAAACACGGGATGGTTCCTGTAAGGTAACTGGAGAACACACATCTCTGTCTTTATCATTTGGAATAAATTATCATGAGTAAGGAAATAAAGTGAGTAAATAAGGAAGGAGAAAAATCTAACAACTTGGAATTGCTAAGGTGGCCTTGAGTGTCATAAAAAAGTTGGGAAATTGTTTTTGCAATGTTTTCAGGGTAGGGCAGGAGAAAAGTTCAATTTAAATGCCCTGTACTCTACAAGGTATCAAACATTACAGGAAAATGAAGCAAGAACTAAGGAGTAAGACAAAATAAAATAGTATCATTGGACATA